CTGCTTTCATTTTCCTCCATTGTTAGTTTAAAATAAAAGATGGGCTCAACTTCTTTTATCTACATTTCGTTTTATCATCGTTGCTTTAAAACATAGGACGACCATTTTTTCTGCTCGTTTGTTTGGTTTTGGTTTAAACGAGAATGCGTTGTTGGTTTAAACCAAAAAGATGATAAACGGTCTCATTGTAAAGTTTTCTTTGGGCTTGCGTCCAGGTCGCCACCCACCTCTGAAACCCCCCCGCCTCCTTCTGACGTTCATCAGTCTAGCAAACGATGTCACCTGACACTAATGAACCCTGAATCCCAACTCCGAGCTGCACAGCTCACACTGAAGCGTCAGCGTCCCTGATGGAGTGTCATGAGGAGGAGTGTAGAGGAGCAATAATGTGCTGGGAAACTGTTCAATTTCCTCCTCTGTTTTTGGGGGGTTTGTTTTGATTTGCACACTTGTAGCATTGCAAAGTGACTATTATTTATAAAACATAAAGCGAGAAAAAAAAAAAAAAAGAAGAGCACTTGTGCGGCCATTCATTGAACAATGCAGCCATTAAGAAAACAAAGGACCGTGGCAAGAATAGTATTAAGATGGCTGTCTTCCAAACTCCTGCAGTAACAGGCGCAGAATAATTACTTGTTGGAGGTTTGGCTCGTCCTCCTTAACTAACTGGCAGTGAAAAAATGCTATTTTTACCAACACAGCTCTTTCTGCGAGCACTTAAATTCGACAGATTCAATCAAAATTTCCGGCTAAAAGTGCTCCGAGTGTTTTACAACTCAGCAACACAAGCCCGGTGTTTCTTGGGCAGATGGGCGAATTCTTCAGAGAGTCTGGCTGCAGACAGGCTGACATAGATTCCTTTACAGCACATGCATCAATCGCACACCCACATCTGGATCGCTTTTAAAAGCACGCCGCGCAATATGCGGCCGTGTGGGACGCTGAGTCTGATCAAGAGACGCTGACCAGAGGGACGGCATTTACATGGTCACTTTAAATTCCTGCTAAGCCCCCAGCTGCCTGTAAAGAACTCGCTGTATATTAAACAGGCTTTTCAGTTCTGAGCAGATGGTAACAATGGAATAAAAAACATTAGGTGAGAGGAGATTAGCGTTTTCAATCCTCCCTAACAAAGTCACACGCGCCTGATTAGACGCGCCGACGACGGACTGCGTCGTGTCGAACACAAAGTACACAACAGTCGAGATAACGCCTTTATTTTTTCTGCTCATCCGAGGAGAGGAAAATCCACAGCAGCGAGAGCACAGGTGTAGTTTGAAAGCCCTTAAGTGCGGGTGACAGCCCACGCATCTCCAGCGCAACAAAGGCAGCAGCTAACCGCCTTTCCATAGGTGTGAGGCTGTTAAGGAGTCAGCTAAAGCCTGTTCGCATCATTCAAATGCGCGAGTAAGATAGAAGAAATGGGCGTCTGAGGTCACCGCTGGTAAACTGGTTTTGTAAAAAAAAAAAAACAAATTGATTATTTATCTGAGTTCATTTAATATTCCACAGTGTCGGACAAATTAACGCCACCGCCGTACAAAGCGCAGAGGAAACCAATTAACGCGGCACAATATGCAATGCACACAGATTTTATACTCAAGTACGAAGCGAAAAAGATAAGAATTAGTGCAATTGGCAGCCGCTGATCCCATTGGGCGAGGACTTCTGTGCACATGTGTGATATTAATTGCTCGAAATGTAAGTTTGCAGACAGGGAATGAGATCAACAAATGTATTAAGCCCGAGACGTTTTGTGGTAATTACAATCGTTTCAAGCAAACTCTCTGAAATGGTGTTTTGAATCTGTCACTTTCTCTAAACGATTCGGGGATAAGCTAATTGCTAAGAAGCAAGGGATTATTGCAGTGAGTGGCTTTGCTGTGTTTGGCCATAGATTAGTTGTCTTCACCAGCTATTATTGCATATTTATGTTCTTTTTTAGCTTTGCCGCGGGCACAAAGACGATAAATGGGATGTAGTGGCGAGTGAACTCATTGATCATTGACTGTGTTGCTGGTGGAGATATTGACAATGGCTTCAGCTGTTTGATGTTAATACCACAGCTGCATGTCAGGAAATGGTTCACGCACAATAACATCCCAGTTCAAGCAGAAAGAAGCTCTGTTATGAAGTTTAACCAAGCCAGGATTGGGTGACATGTTCCTAAATGTACAAACAATGTTTATTTTTGCGATTTATTTCATTTAAAAATGAAAGATGATGTACGGTTAAAGGTAATTAAAGTCATGATATCACCTCCTCCAGCTGTTTTGATTGGACAAAATCCCATTTAATTTGATTTAATCGCCATTTTAGTGACGACAGATGATGAATGCTTCATAGTAAAACTCATGGTGTTTATTCTGACCATTCTTTATCTTTTTTAAGATTTGCATCTCACAAGTTCAGGGACCTTATACCGGTGGGAAACTAAAACGTCAAAGATAACGGCAGGTACTAATTTGCAGTCGAACCGAAAGCAAACCAAAAAAAAGTCCATCCATCCATTCATTCATTGTCTTCCACGAATTCGGGGTCAGGTCATGTTGGCAGCAAGCTAAGCAGGTCGTCACTGGCTCCACTATTCCCAGTTAGCTTTCCAGTTCCTCCGGGGAAATTCGACGGCAATCCCAGACCAGATGAGGCACCCTCCAGCCAAGCTCTCGGTCTACCCTGAGACCTTCTCCCAGTTGGACGTGCCCAAACGTTAAAAAGCAGGCACCCAGGAGGCGTCCTAATCAGGAGCTAGAACCACCTCAAATGGCTCCTCAGAGGTCTATTCCGAGCTCCTCATCCTTTCTCTTAGGTTGACCCCAACCACCCCACGGAGGAAACCAGCTCTTATCTGCAACCTCATTGTTTCAGTCACAGACCACAAGTCATGACCAGAGGTGAGGGGTTGCAGCGTAGATCGACTCAACTGAGCGCTTTGCCTTCGCCACAAGGATCTAGTACAACACCTGGGTTAGTTATCTAAAGATCCATGTCTATGTCGCTTGTGAACAAGATCCCAGGATGAAGGTCACGGCCAGACAGAACCAAAAATCAGGAAGAGATGCAACTCTGAAGCCTCAAATCTCAGCTAATGTTTTAAATTGACTTCTGTTGACTGTCCAACACGATTTAAACAATATTATTAAAGCATCAGAGAAGTTTTAAAACAGGTAAATTGAAGTGTGATTATCTAAATGCAAACTTATTTGTCTTTTCGATCACCTGTGGATAGTGTTTGAAGTTAATCTCTTTGCCTTTGATCTGTGGTCACACGAGATGCTGTTTTTTTTTTTTTGTGATAAACTTGAAAACCTCCCTCTTATTCCGCAACAAACAGTCACAGTGCAGCTTGTGATTCGGAGCGCTCGCTGGGGCTACACTCTGTTGTTCCTGCCTCTCTACCCGTACTCCAGGGACTGCTGATTTTGGAGTTTTGAGGGCTTCATTGCAATTCACATCAAGAGGAGCTATTCTCCCGGTGAATTACCTTGATCTGTTCTCCCTTGGGGAGCTCGTGTAAAGACAAAGCTGCGGAATATACTCGGGGCATACCAAGAATAAATGGATCTCTGGAAATGTCAAAACCTGTTGGGGGGAGCAGCTTTACCCCTCCGGTCGTACCCCTGATGCTACCTGAAACTTTTCTGTGTTCCCGAGTTCAAGAGGAGACGAGAAAGTCTTCGCTGCAAAGAATTCTAGTTCATTAAGGGAGGTATCGACTTCTCCATCTCGGGTGAGCAGAGGTAAACGTGGCCGGTCACTTACCGACTGGTGACATCTCGGGAACGCTGGCCGTGTACGGTCCCTCCAGGAACTTTGGCTCGTTGTCATTGATATCTTGGACCTTGATTACGAATTCTGATTCCGGCTCCAGGGGCCTATTGGTGTTGATGTCGACCGCCTGGGCGCGCAGGGTGTAGTAAGGCTTCTCCTCCCTGTCAAGACTCCTTAAGGCATGGATGTCCCCCGTTGTTTGGTCAATTGTGAAAATGGAGCCGGCCCCGTCCCCAGAGAGGGTGTACTTCACCGCACTGTCCCCCTTATCGAGGTCAGTGTGCAGCTGGAAGACAAAAGAGGAAAGAATAGGGGGGGGAAAAAAAAAGACAGGTTGAGTGCAAACATTGGCACAGATAATGATTCATTGAAAGCACTGGGGAAGAGCTGTCAAGGAAGACTATTTTACAAAGACAGTCAAGGAAACTGACTCGCGCATCAAAGAGCAAATTCATTCCCCTGCAAAAGATCTGCAAAACACCAAGTCATGAGAAAGAGAAAAAAAATAAAATGATTGTGCTTTCAGAACATTTCACAGATTAATGAGGCTAAATCTCTCATAAATAATGTATTCTCTCAGTGCAATTACGCCGCAGTGATAACTCTTCAACGTCTTGGACCCGTTTCTACTCAAGCATGACTCAAAAATAAAAAAAAAATCTTCTCTTATGAGAGATATGAGATGGTTGATTTTTTTTTTTCTCAGACTGTAAGAGGTAAATACTCGTTTTCCACTAGAAGAGTTTCTAATACCTTCAACCTGGCAGCGCAGCTCTTGTGACCAGAGCAGCACAAATATCACAACTCCAGCCAGAGAACATCTTTGTTAATACAGATCCAGGACCATGGCAGCTCTCTCTTTGTACAAGACAAACAAATTCCGGGGCTGGTGGCGGAAAGCCTATTGACAGAGTTATGTTTACCGTGCTGCAGAGATCAGTCATACAGTTCAAAGTCTTTTAAATATTTAAGGGGCTGTGGTGCAATTTGATCATCGCCATACGTGGATATGGATTTTTTATTTTTTTTGCTGCTTGCTTATCGATGGTATGGGATTTCCACCAACACTGTTGAACAGCATCCTTCTTCCTGGAGACGAGAATTGATATTTTAGGCACTGGAGCAGAAGAATGCACTCTAAAAAAAAAAAAAAAAGTAATTTGAGAGACCTATTCCCAACACTGAATTCAATGCATGGTTGCAAAATAAAATCCAATTTTTTTCATTTAGATAAACCTTCAGGTTTGAGACATTATTTTGTTGAGTTGTGTTGATGATGTTGGTGATTCCACTGTCTTAATCTATGCATTATCTATACACCGCTTAATCCTCACTA